TGTTGCTTAATTCTCGAGATATTTTAATGTCTTATTAAGTAATAACTTGTTATCAATAAATATAATAATTATTGTCTTTGATTATAATTTTTCTCATATTCTCGATATTCTCCTAAATAAACGATATACCACTCGATTTCACTTAACCCTATGAGTCATAGCATAACATATATGTTACACCTTTTGGCTCTTCTTTTCTAGACTGTATTTCGAGAAGATTTCACCGAAATTAATGATTCTTTTTTCATTATTCACTATATTATAATACTTAGTTTCGACTTCTATGTACTGATTTTTCCATTTTATTGTTGTAAACATTTTAACGCAAAAAAAAACGCTTTTTTTAGTTTAAATTCATTTGTGAAAAAAGCCCCTATGAACATACTCATTTTTTGAGTTATATTTATGTTTTTTAGGTCGCTGATTACGAATATGCATTCAGTTTGTTTTACAAATTTTATTTCAATATTCTTACGTTTGTTTTTTATAAATTGTATATTTCAACGTTTTTTTATAAATTTAATGGTTTAACGTATAATAAATCAACCTAACTAAGACTCCTTATAAATCAAAAAACAATGAAAGAACAAGGGCAGTAGGAGTCAAGCGCGGGAGATGTTGCGCAAATAACACGGCTATCGTAGCGTGAAACTTCTTTATTTTACTAAAGCGCTTACATGTTTCGGCTCATTTTTGAGCCTTCTTCAGAGATAACTAATACATTCACATACATAGAATATAACAATTATTAATTAGTCGTGGTGATCTTTCTCACCTCGAGAGTATAAATACCAGAATTAAATCCAGATAAGAATGCAGTGAAAAAGAAAAAGGGGGGAAAGAAATTTTGAAATTCTCGAAATAAAGAAAATGTAAAACTAATGTATCAAAAAATTTTGAAATTATAATTAATTATTTCGATGGTTAGGAAGCTCACCTTGATCACAAGATACCGCATCGCAAACATTACTCTTAATACTTCAAAAACCGGTTTCTGATAAGTTAGCCAGTCAGTGTCAGACACAGTTAGTCTCTTATTGATTTAATTGGTCTTTATTGAGACAGTAATTAAAAAACTAGCGTTAAAAAATTAAAAAATTAATCACCAAATCAAGAAAAGGTATCCCCGAAAATGATCCAAAGTCAACGCCCGACCGACTTCTTCCTGTGCACGAGCGACACTGACTGACTGATGTCTGATGTCGGAATAATTAATTATAATTTCAAAATTTTTTGATACATTAGTTTTACATTTTCTTTATTTCGAGAATTTCAAAATTTCTTTCCCCCCTTTTTCTTTTTCACTGCATTCTTATCTGGATTTAATTCTGGTATTTATACTCTCGAGGTGAGAAAGATCACCATGACTAGTTAATAATTGTTATATTCTATGTATGTGAATGTATTAGTTATCTCTGAAGAAGGCTCAAAAATGAGCCGAAACATGTAAGCGCTTTAGTAAAATAAAGAAGTTTCACGCTACGATAGCCGTGTTATTTGCGCAACATCTCCCGCGCTTGACTCCTACTGCCCTTGTTCTTTCATTGTTTTTTAATGGTTTATATTCCGTCACTTCAGAAAACCCTTATTTACGGATTTTTCAGGATAGAATACGAATTGTAGTGAAAAACAAGAATTAATTTGCTTTTTAAGCCGCCATATTGTGTTCGCCATCTTGGATTTCAATTTTTTTAGGATCTGATAAAAGATTTGATTTCAGCGATCTCAAAAACCTATAATTCTATACATTTTTCAGAGATTAATCTTTTCCTTTAATTGCGTGACTCAAAGGATTAAATAGCTTTAATATAATATTAATTCCCTTTAATATGATATATAATTCATACAACATGGAACTTCTTCATATTAGCCAAATAACACCCTTCTTTAAACATTCTCTTATTGGTTTAAAAGTTATATTTGTTTGCATTGATTCATATGTAAAATCGCGTTTTGTAATATCTATTTGAACATTTTATAAATAAATGGTATTAAACCAAATTAAATCAAATTTTTCACACGTATACTAATAAAATTCCAATAAATATTCGAAAAATTTATTTGGACCCGCTTATTTATTTTAAAGTTATTTATCTAAAAATATAAAATGTAGTCTTTGCGTTGTAAAAGCCGTTATAAGTCAAATTATTAGTCGTTTTGTTTTTTTGTTATTGGTTTTTCAGCATACACGACCAAAATTTTTCATAAAATTTCGACCAATTTTTTCATAACTCTTTGTTGTACTCTTTTTTAGCCGGTAGTGTACAGCCAAAATATCATTGAACATTATAAGATATTTTAATTCCACTACATTGGGCTATTACTTATAAAGCAACAAGAAAAAGAAATATAAAGATTTGAACATATTAACATTCTTCCAATTCTAATCTTCTGTTTTTAAAATAAGGCTTTCATATTTAAAATTTAAAATCACGTGCGTTCACCGTAAATGTAAGGGAAAAAAGTAGATACTTACTAATTAGTGGAATGTACTCGGCTAATATGTGTTACATTAGCATCATAGAAGTGAATGTGAATTAGGCGAAAGCGAGAAATTGCGCTTTCCGTGGTCCGTTTGATCACGATCGTTTGATGATGGCACCAAAGAGACCTCGAGGATCTCCTTAATGATAGGACAGACTATCAAAAATAGAAGGAGAATGATCTATTTGAGAAAGTGCGTTATACCAAGAAATCGGTATATCGATAGCAAATGTTCTATACTGCTAGCGTGCAAGTTACATAATTATGTAAGTTACATAAAATGCTACATCTTATCATAACAATTTGCAAATATTGTTGGTATTAACATATTAAGTATTATAAAGGTCATCAGCATTACAGACATGTTTCATTGACATGTATACAAGATACAATGAATTTGCAAGTTAATATCGTCAATGATAATACATAATACTATTATAAAAGACTATTTAATAAATAAATGTACATGCCATACATTTATCGATCACAATAATATATGCATGATCTTTAATTAGTTTTTTTTTGCAGAGCTAAAGAAAAGCCGCACAATAGGCAACACATTAATAACAATAACAAAGAAAAACGGTAACAGATAATAACAGATAACGATAGAGATAAATTATGAAGCAGCTCAGTTATCAAGTAAAGTACATAATGTCGCGTTAAATACACTATTGACGTAGAATTTATTACATGATAAAATTTTGTATTCCATTTTCTGTATATATCAAGTTCATAATATAGAATACAAGTTCACAACTGGTCATAATCTAAACTCACAAACTGTTTTTGAACAACGTTTACCGATAATGTTGACGATGCTGAGCGGCGGTTCTCTCCCTTAAATGATCTCTATAATACAACCGCGTCGCGGTAGATTACAGGCAATTACACCCGTCGTTCAGACGAATCGTAGCCGCGTAGTTGGAGGTCGGCGCGGGTTATTTGGCGTCCCCGAGGGCAGTCCTGTGCAATCCAGGAACTTCAATATTTGGTATAGGTATACCATCGGGATAGTCTTCGAACTGGTTTCCCCGTGTGCGGCTTGATGACGTGCAAATTGGGTTACTCGCCCACGGGAATCGCATAATTGAATTTTGTCAGGTGTGCTTATTATCGAGTGCACCTTCCAGTCGAGCGATAGAATCGAGATTTTCGGCGCTCAATCGTGCCTAATTGTACAATCCTTTCCCAGTTGAAACGCGATAGGAAAATCAATACATTGCGTTAGGTAAGATTGCCACGTGCATTTGTTTGCATAGCTAATTTGCATGAGCTTATGGCAGAACCTGTGGAAGCAATATTCATCAAATTGTTCATTTATACTTGATTATTTTGATTAATATTAATGTTGTATCAAAACGAAATCACCGCACATTGAGTAAACTAATCTATTTCAGTCACCATAAAAACCAAGAAACCCGTATATTTTTAATAACTATTTAAGAGCTTGTAAAGTTGTTCGCTCCTACCGGCTTGCTGGCACACGACATGAGTCTCCACTTTGTAAGTTCCTTCTGCGCAGGAAGTCCCATGTAATTCACTAGCGCTACTTGTAGCAATATACCGCCTTCATCTACCTAGAAAACGTTCCTCCAGCCTGTTCGTACTCACAGAAAATATACTGTAGACGCGTTCACTATATCTTCCTACCTCATAAGCAAAAGCAGATAAAGGAAATAAAAATGTTGCCTTGAATTCACGCGATATCTGACATTATTTCGTGTAATTATAATATTTATTTGGCATGCAAATGCATAAACAAAAATGCAAGTACATAAATTCAAGTTGATACATTATTTAAATTTTGTCAAAACTCACGTTCAGAGAAAAACAGAAAGAGTTCCAAATGGACACATCACTAATTGGCTAAAGCAAGATAATATGTTTTTATTGGTGATACACTGGGAAATTATAGGTACTGATCAATGTACCTAAGTGAATGTATTGAACTAGGATGTACGTATCCGAGACTCCCAAAAAGCATAATAATGGCAACTACAAAAGCGACAACTATACAAATTTTATATGTAGAATTAATGTATATAGCTGAATAAACCACAACATAGTTAAATAAACTGATGTACATAATTGAATAATTTTATAATTATTGTAATTATAAAATAGTTTATTCAACTATATACATACATAGTTTATTCAACTACGTATACATTGGTTCTACATATAAAATTTGTGATTTTCTTCAAAACAAAACTTATAATTATTTCCTTTATATAGTTGCCACTATGTCTTTTTCTCTGAATGTACAATATGCTTAAATGAGCAATATATATAAATAAAATAAGAGCGTTACATATGTTATATAAGTTGCTGTGTTGCAACACAAATAATGTGAACAACTTCAATGCTAAGAATTAGTAAACGCGATAAATAAGTCGTCAGCTACGAGTATGACCTCACCAGATCAAGTTTGCAAATACAAGCGATAGCGATGCTTATGCAATATAATAAAATTTAACTTATCATACAGTTTCCAATTACGTAACATAGTATTCATAATGGACGTTTCACGAAAGCTCCGGGTGACCGGATAACTATCACTCGCTTCCTGTACGCAGCAGGGGCAGTTAAAGTGAGTGAAGGAAGATCGTGAAGGAAGAAGAATGAAGTAGATGTGAAAGTCGCAATGTCAGGAGTCATAAATTCAACTATAGATAATGCGATGTAAACAGCAGTGCACACTTCTCATTCGCTTCTATTGCCCCGTCAGATAAAGAGAAGCGACGCGACAAAATATTCAGCAGCGCAAGAACCGAGAGTTCCAAGACAACGTTTCGAAAGCTATTATCCTCCAGCCGTAAGAGACCAGGGAGGACGGTAGTACCCCTTCGTGTGACGTAACCCTATTCTGTTCCATTTAAGTTAGCTCTTGGGTTCCACGGTTTCGGCGTTGCTCACCCTAACGACACGCCCAGAAGATCGCCGTTCTGAGATTCGCAACATGAACACGGACCGTGAATAGTTTCACTTCCAATAAATCGCTTAACACATATTTATCATCGATTTTGTCGGCTAAGCGTGTGACATAACGTTTGTTACCAGCAAAATTTTTCGGTATGTATGACGAAAATAAATATGCGAATGGAGATCGTCCAATCGTTAAACGGAGATCAATTGTTTCTTCTCCCAGTTAACAAATCTTGTGTCAATTTCAAATTAATTGTGATTATCCTGGAGAGGTGAATAATATAAAAATTAAATTCAAGAGAATTAAATAATATAAAAAAATCCTCCAGGTTTGATAAAATTCAATCAAAATTCAGATCAACTAATTCCGTCCTATTAAAAACATAAATAAAATTTCCTCTTTTACGCAAAACGAGAAGGCGTATCGCTCTCAGTGAAGTTTACATAAGTGGCTATACATTAAATGTTCACGTTACTGTAATTAAAGCAAGCAAACGATATTTCGTATCAAAATGTTATCTATTTTTTTGCTTAGATGTTTGTTAAAGAAAAAACAAAAAACTACTATGTTACGTGTTACACGAAGAGAGCAATCACAAAGATGCACAATCGCTCGAGGGACGGCAATCATACGGAATTAATTTTTATAACGACAGCTGCAGTTAACGATTTAGAGTTACAAATGATAACCGATATTGAACGTTCAAACATACACAGCAATTTTTGTGATGAAAGCATACTTGAAGATTACGTTTAATAATTTACTGCTACGCAAAAATAAAGAATAATTTTTTTATTATATTGGTATAAACGCTTGTGTACTTAGCACTTAGGATTGGTCTCTGAGCAATGCCATTACCAGCATCAGTGTACCATGTATTATGAAGTCTGATAGGTGTTTTTGCAAGCAATTAAAAGTATCACAATTTTTTCTGAGTGTTCTTTTTGTTCGACATCATGACATTTTTGAGTATTTCCTTTCAAAGCTTTGCATTTCGCTAAAACTAAAATTTTTATGATTAGATTTTAGAAAAATTTATTCGAGATTACGCTTACGGTGGAAAAGTAACGCGATATATGCAGTAAAAAATAACATATTTATACAATAATACTATACAATATCACCGCGGTGAGGAAAAAAATTAAATTCATTTAAATCTTTTATGATTACAGTCTATTCATAAAATCAGTCATGCAATTATTATAAGTGCGAAAAAAAGTGATAATATAATACATTTGTATATATGCGCAAGTCGAGAAAATCTTGCATAGTAAAACAGTCGAAATAATTTTAAATGTTAAAGACAATGTGTGTTTGCTTGAATTAGAAAGCCAAAGTAGCGCCGTTGCGGAACTATTCTAGGAAAAAATATAAATTTATATGTCCCACTCAAAATTTCTTTATAATGATTTTTTTTACTTAATCCCATAAGTACGAGCGTCTTATTTCACATTTATCGTAACACATCACAATAACTATTTCTTCTCAAATCAAACTTGTATTATCGACAGGCGTCACAGCTGACTCGTCGCGAAATTGACGTATCCCAATGTCGAAAAATGATTTTTCGCCACCATATGAAAAATGTACGCGATGTAAAGTAAACGAATGCCAATGTATGTGAATCCGATCAAGTGACAATTCAAGCCGGAGATAACCGTAATTTCCTCGATATATCATAGATGTACATCTGCGAGCAAATAGATTTCCGAACTTTTTCAGATATTTATTTTTAATATTGCATGCGTGTCTAAGTGATTTCTTAAATTCATGCGTAATATACGTACATAACTGTGTCCACTTGGTACGACAAATACTTCGAAACATATGATTATCATAATCAGAAACATATGACATATTATAATCAGAAAAAAGAATTTTACTAATTGACCAATCAAAAAATGCTTCAAGGCATTTGTAATATCAAATGGACTGTAATTTGTAAGTCTCATTTCTTCGACTAGTTTTTCGAACGTGTTGATTCGCTGTTTTTTTCCTCTGACAGCCAATTGACAAGCTACTTGACAAATCATTTGACTATAATTTGACATAAACTTAAAAATAAAAATAATTGCAATCATATAGATCGAACAATTATGTATCTTCTCTATTTGTATTTTTATCAGATACACGTGTAACGGTGTAAATTTGATATAAAAATGGCAAAAAAAATATTTGAACCTCTGCTTCAATTGTGGCCTCAGTGGTTCGCAACTCTAACAGGTTAGTTAATTCATAAAATTCAGTGCAATTTAAGATTTGCATTCAATATAAAATTGATATATCTCCATGTATCGTACATTTTCTATAAAATTACTGAATTGCATCAATTTTTTACGACATATAACAAAATGTTATGCTTTAGTGGCCTTATCGACCATCAATATTGGTCTCGCAAATGGTTGGACTTCCCCTTACTTGGCGCAACTGACCGATGAAAATGCGCTGTTTCGCGTAACGGACGAAGAAGCGTCTTGGATAGCCTCTCTATTACCACTTGGGCGCCTCTTAGGCGCCATCATTGGACCTCTCATTTTAGAATATGTAGGCAGCAAGATGTCTATCCTATCAACAGGATTACCGATGATCGTCAGCTGGATTTGCATAATATTCGCTACTTCCCCCACATGGTTGTACGTTTCAAGAATACTTTCAGGTAACATTGATCATAATCATTTGCCACAAATGTTAGCACAGGATAAAACAATTCATCAAGCATATCCTTCATAATGCTTAATCGTATTGCTAATATTTTATTCATTAATTTTCCAAATAATCTTTCTATTGTCTTATATTCTAATGTTTAAACAATCGCTTTTAATTTGGCGCCCACAGGATCTCATTTCTAGACTTAACTATAGGGGAAAGTGGGTGAATTGTGCGCTAATCTAAGAGAAATTTATTGTCCTGAAATGGTTTTCCAAGTTCAAAGCAATATAAGTATGGAGAAATAAAAATTATAAACATTCTTCTACCATTTCGTATCCTCATATTGAACAGATTTGCATTCAATAAGATTGTATTTGGAAAAAAGAGAAAAACGGAAAAGCGAAAAATTTCGTGCCTGTCGAGTAACTGTGCGCAAAGTAAAAGTCGTAGGAAATTAATGAATTATGGAATGTTGACAAAGAAATCAGAAAATATATTTATTATATTGCAATATAAATATACATTAAAAAAATATATTTTAAATAT